ATAGTGGTAACTGGTAAAGTATGGTAATTTTTTATCCAATATTTTTTTCACCCAGAAATTTATACAACCAATAGATCATGACGAACTCGTTTTTTCTGAGCAAACGTTTTCAAAAACGATTTAAAAATGAAGAAGTTACCATATGGTATGTAGTTGGTAAAAAAAAAGTTTCTCGAAATATATTGAAAATTGATCTCATTTTGTACAGCACAACGAACTAGTTCCATCTGTAAAAAAAAAATGAAATCCGAGTTAGAACGAAGAATATTATAGCCGATTAAGAAAACTAGAGAAAACAAAATGTCTTTAATTGACAACCCTTAGATCTGAATTTTCTGGACCCACTTAGATCTAAAGGTCCAGATTTAGTTACTCATAGGTCAGTAACCATTGGTTACTGACCCTATCCTAAGCTGGACGAGAGACATGGGATGGGGGGGAAATAATTGGATTGTTGGGGTTTACTAGGCTGGGTTAATTGGGACCAAGAGGGGAGGATTATTGTTGGGGTGGGGATGTGGGGTGGGTTTGCTTTTTTTTTTTAAACTAATAATAATAAATTATTATTATAATTATTCCTAATTCGCAGTTCAAATCATTCGTACGTAACCGTCTATCCAATTGATAATTTATCATATGATCGAACCTGAACTCAAATGTCAGGGTGTTATATTTCCTCCACCCTTATTCTAATTTTGTCCCCGAAATTAGAATTGTTGGATAGGTATTGAGGTACAAACACTTGTATTCGACTGAGATTAGTTTGACTGGGATGTAACACACATCCCATGAATCAAAAAAGACATTACACTCGTCATCTATCAACTAACGCACTGAAACTAAGCTTGGCACCAACTGAGGAACATATAGAGTGTCAGGCAGAGAAACAGATCTTGTACGAGCCAAACCAGTACTGCGAATAGGGATGGTATCCCCATACGCAACTTGAAGCGACATAGAATGAGCAGGCTATAGACTCTCAAAATCTCGATGATGACTAGTCATATGATTAAACACATCAGAATCAATCATTCAGCGAAGGGACTTACCAGGAGTAGCACCGGAAGCAAAAGACGAAGAAAGAGCCTCGAAAAGAGCATCCTGAACCATAACGATAAACGTGATCGGAAGTGAGAGAGGAGGCAGAGGACGGCAAGGCATAAGAACTCTCCATTGTCATAAGATATGTTGTTGCTCGCGAAGTGGAACCAATAGGAGGAATAGGCTCCAATTTCCCACACTTGCTCCCACACTTAAAAACAATGTGACCGTGCATCTATCCCATTGAGAAGCTCGAAGGAATAAGAAGGAATCATATGCAAATAGGAGGTGACACTGTAGGGCATCTATGGTTCATACGAATTCCATGAAGCCGATGATTAGCTAAAGAAGTTTTAATCATTGCGGCGAAACCCTCTTTGCAAAGAGCGAACAAAAATGGAGACAAGGGATCTCCTTGACGAAGTCCTCGTGATGACGGAAAGTAACCCGAGGGCTGACCATTGACCATCAAAGAGAAGGTAGCAGTCGTAACACACTCACATACCCATTTAATCCAGGTTTTGTGAAAATCCCAATTTTTGTAGCAAAGCAAACATGAAAGGCCATGCAATTCGGTCATAAGCTTTCTCCATATCGAGTTTGAGGGCCATAAACTTCTCATGTCCCTGCCGCTTGTTCTTAACAAAGTGCATGACCTCATGAGCGATCAAAACATTGTCAACAATATGCCGCTCCTGAACAAAACCATTATGTTCCAGTGAAACGATAGAGGGTAGAACAAGAGCAAGCCTTTTAGACGTAATCTTCATAATGACTTTGTATAAATATAGACAAAGACTGATAGGGTGTAACTAGGTAACCTGTTCAACATTCTCAACCTTGGGTATGAGAGTTAGCCAAGTATGGTTCATGTTACGTAGAAGCTTACCGGTCTGGAAAATGGATTTAATTGTCGCAATCACACTATTGCCTACAACTTGCCAAAATGACCTAAATAAAGCCCAACCCATCTGAGCCTTTTGAGCTCTCCAATATGGAACACATCTTCCTTAATTTCTATATCAGTCACTGGAGAAGTCAATCTCATATTCATATCATTAATAACCATATGCTCCACCGAAAACATATGAACTCTATTCGAAACCCTCTTAGTGAAACCATCATCAAAGGCACTAGTAGTAAACAGTTTCTTATAATGATCAATTGTAACCTGCTGCATTTCCACCCTAGAAGTGACCCAAGAACCAGTTGAAGTGTACAACCCATTCAGTCTATTTCGTCAATGACGAACTCTGGTGACTATAAGGAAGTAGCGTGAGTTATCATCCCCTTGTTGTAACCATGCAAGATCCCGACCCGGTTCTGTTGTTGCTCCCTAGGTTCCATGTACTTTGATTGGTCCAGCAACCCAATCGTTCTTCCAAAAGTGATTTGAGCCCAAACATGCTTCTGATCGGTTGCCTATGAAATTTTCCCTTTTCACCTTTGATTCCGCAACCACCTTGTGCTACCATCTTTTCGTGTTTTCTTCACTTGTAATGCATCAAAATCATGGCACTACGCGGTAATGGTTTTCTCAACCATTCCATAGTCAATTGGCCTTAAAACAAGCGTCATATATTTCAAAGACATCATGAAATAATCACATTAAGCACACAAAATCAATATATTTTCGACAATTATCAATAATTAAGTTGATTCTTTGTCTAGTTTTTCATATTGTAAACATGTTGAAATATTTTTTAATTCTTCACACTCTTGAAAAGTAGTGCGAGCTAACACTAAACTATCATATGCAAAACAAACATGAGGAATGATAGGTGCCATGTGACACACTTTAATACCACACAACCCTTTTTCCTCTTCCGCCTTTGTAATGAGAGCTAAAAACCCTTTATGCAAAGAGGAGAAAAGGTAGGGTGAGACATTGTCGCTCAACCTTCAGTCTCTCAAAGACCTTAACACTCCTTATTTATTGAAATTGATGAGAACTAAATAGGAGAAAAATTGAACACACGTCATAAGAAATCCAATCCACTTTTCGTTAAAGCGTAGCTTCATGAGAAACTAATCCAAGAAACACCAATCCACAATATCATTGGCTTTGGTCATATTCGGTTTGGCCACAAAGAAGACTCTTTTTCCTTTCATTTTCTTATTCATATACAAAAAACATTCAAAGGTAGAAATGATATTGTTCGTAATAAATCACCCTTGAATAAAAACACTTTACTTTTTTTAGATTATATCGGGTTAACTGCAACAGATACCATTTAAATTTATATTTTTTGTACACTGACAATATAAATTTAAATGGTTTGCACAAATACCACTTCTATCCAGATTCATTTTAATGTTAGTGATCCTTGAAAGTTTTTTAATCGTCATTTTCTCCTTAACTCACCGTGGGAAATCAAGAAGAGTCTTTTGACTCTAATATCAAGTCAATCTGGCTAATGATAAAAAAGCTTGGTTCCTTGCTTACTAACTACTCCAACCTAGCTGGTCAATTGAGGTTGTTCGCACTAAACAAGCAAGAGCACTAAACAAGCAAGAAATTGAAACTACTTTACTCACTTAAGAGAAAGAGTAATTGGGGTATGAGAATTTGGTAACTTATGGCTTTATTGAATCTTTCCTAGCCTTGCAAAACAAGACATGTGCCATTGAGTCAATTTTTATGCACCCAATTTGCCATCCTTGCTAGGTAGGTCAACTCAATGGTCATGTAAGTGACCGCCTAGCTAGGGATTAAACTCAATTCTCAAATTAGGCACAAGCCATACACACATATATATAGGTAATCAATGTTTATATATTTAACCACCTATTCCAATTGATTTTAGGTTTGACTTGATCCAATAGGATGATCACCTCATGGGTCAAGAACCAAATATAATATACCCAATCGAGGCACTAGATGATAATCAAAACAACTAATTGAACAAAGATTAGTAGGAATTCAAGAATTTGTTAAACTCGTACCAAAATCATCAACATTAGGCTTAGGATTCTTACCCTTAAATACCAATGGGAGTACCTCATGAAACAAGAAGAAGAAGATGAAGAAAAAGAAGTGTAAGAGGGGAGGAGATGACCATCTTCTAGGAGTCTTCAAATCTAGAACTTCAACCTTCCCATCACGTGAGCATCATCCACTTATTCTTCTAAGGGCAAATCCCTTTCATTCAAATAAGGACTTCCTATTTATACTCCTAGGGACGGATGTGTTCACAGGCTGAGTTCAATACCATGAATTTCCAAGTGAGCCCTTTAACTACTAACACAATGCTGCAATGCTAAAGTTGACTATTAACTTTGAAGATCACGGTCTCTGACTTTTCGGCCATGATATTTGAGTTAACGTACTTCCTCCCATGACTGCATCACCTAAGGCCGTGAAACTCTAAGTTGGGTCCCTATGCACATCATCCTCAAACAAGGATATCGACCAAAAGTGATTGTGTGTATGAATTGTCCATATTTGAACGGGTGAGGATCTCGTCCACATTGAGCACGTTTAACTTCAGAGTTCTCACAAGAACTACTCCATTTCATCCCAAAATGCATCTTGTTTGTTAAAGACTCTTTTTATTTAAGAATCATGGATCTCTCCCGGGATTTATGTCGATGTGGGATTTTTCTAAAGTGTAATGGATGCATGATTACAGGGATATTATTAGTTGTAATTGCTATTATTGTTAACTGGGAATTTACGGGATTTGGGGAATAATTGGGAGGAAATTATGGGTATTGATAGATGGTAAGTTGTTAAACTATAAGTAAACTAGGATTGTTTCTTCCAAGGGCAAGGAATAACAATCGCATTACAGAATTCCAATCCCCTTCTATTCCTCTGCTAAGTCTTCATTTCCTTCCTCTCTTCTCCCACACGTCCAACTCTTTTCACTTCCCTTAATCATTCTGCGTCAGTTCCCAGGTCACACATGCACCACCACTTCTCTACTATACACTCCAAAACCATCCTCTTTCACTCACCGAAACCAACACCAATAAACATATAAACCATCCCTTGATCCAAACCTTCATCAAATTGGTATCAAGAGCTCGGTTGGGTGGCATTTATGCAAGCTAAGATACAAGCCATGGGAAAGAATCACGCACAATCCAAACAAGTGACAGCAGACGAAACTGAGCTCTACGATGAGACAGAGTTGATGGTGATGGCCGAGAAAATTAGCGAGATGACAAAGGGCCAAGCTAAACTCATTAAGGGACATGGGGTGATCATGGGCAAACTCGACCAACTCCGTGAAACCATTTTCCAGGAGTGGAAAGAGGCGCGGGTAGAGAAGAGTATCAACGCGCTCAAAGATACCTTGATCGAGCTCTTTGGAAGGATTACGAGATCCAAACCTAGCGAGACGGCAGCCGATGCACCAACAACGGTAAGCAGAATTAAAGGCTTACTACCGGAACCCAAGAGGAAATCGAGCCTTGGCAATGGTCAACAATCGCAAGAGGATGATATGGAGGATCTTTTTCTCAAAAAGGTAGTGGCTAGGCGAGACGAGGAAGCCGCGACGGGCGGCTGGGGCTCCATGCATCGGACGTGTCTGGGAATACAGACAGGCCGACCAAAGGCGGGATAAAACATAGTAGGGCAAGGTGGTCAAGGGTGGAGTGAAGGAACTCACTCGAATCGATTCAATCCCGGATTCGAGGGCGTTGATATCGTAGGGAGAGATGGAGATTGGGCCGCCGACAGTCAGGTGGAATCCTTCCTCTTTCGACCTCTCGATTCGATGGAAGGATGGGCAGTCAAGGATTCCTAAGAGGCGGAGGTAGCAATGGCGGCAGAAGCAAGGAAGTTCGGCAAGCGGAGAATGCATCTCATGGGTTTGAAGGCGACGGTAGAGTACGGAAAGGAGACGAACCCTGAAGTCCGAGCTGGCCGTCGAGGTCGCGGGTGGAGTGATGAGGGAGAGACATTATGGATGCATGATTACAGGGATATTATTAGTTGGAATTGCTATTATTGTGGATTGGGAATTTACGGGGGAATTATGGGTATTGATAGATGGTAAGTTGTTAGGCTATAAGTAAACTAGGATTGTTTCTTCCAAGGGCAAGGAATAACAATCGTATTTCAGAATCCCAATCCCCTTTCTATTCCTCTGTCGAGCCTTTATCTCCTTCCTCTCTTCTCCCACACGCCCAACTCTTTTCCCTTCTCTTAATCATTATGCGTCAGTTCCGAGGTCACCAAATCACCACCACCTCTCTACTATACACGCCAAAACCATCCCCTTTCACTCACCCAAAACCAACTCCAATAAGCACATAAACCATCCCTTGTTCCAGGCCTCCATCAAAGTGTTACATACACCTACCTTGGGACTCAACGTCCTCGTTGAGGTTTGTCTCACCATCGTTCAAGAGGGATGCGAGAGGCTCTTATACCACTTGTAACATCCCAAACTATTTTTCGACAAAATAGTGCCCGTTTTGGACCTATACCCTCAAAATTTTTTTCCTTGGAGTACATATCGAGGCGACTTCCCAAATAATCACCCATCCATGTTATTTATTTTAACATTAAACTTGACCATATCTTTTATTTAAATGAATAAATAGAATGGTCAACTAAACCAAATTTTCAAAGGCAGAAATCGGGATTTGGATTTACGAGTTGAGCCGGGAATAATTTAACGGCGGAGGGACAACATTAAACGGCCGGTGACGGAGATCCCTCCTTCTTGTCCTATATAAGCCAATAACACACCCACCTTCCTTCGCATATTTGCTTGCACTCTCTCTCGTTCCCATCTCTCTCCTGTTCCGCTCACCAGAGATTCAATCGGACCTTACAAGTTACAATACACATAGGTAATTAAATTAATTCTTTTTCTCCTTCATTTTTTTTTCATTTTAATTTTAATTTTTCCGCTCTGTCTAGTCGAGTCTCTCTCTCCTAATTTCTTAATTAGTTAATCTTTCCTGGGATGCTGTTCGACTGTTTGAGCTATTGGCGATAAAATTTGAGAATTGAACGGAGGGCGAACTTGAATCATGCTTCGGGCGGCGGATTAGTGCGAACAATTTCTGAAGATTGATCTGTTGTGGTTAAGTGTAAATTAGGGAAGTGCTTGAATCGGTTGGAACTATCCTCCATTTTGTTTCCCATATGGAGGTTAGTTGATTGCCCGCGATAGAGAAAGAGAGAGAGAGAGGCGGGGTTGTGATTCCTGGTTGTGTAGTTACATTAGGGAATCAACTGATGTGATTGCGCAATTGATTTTGAATTGGGTGGGAAAGAACTTGATCTTGATAGATTGCTGTCTCATATTGTTGTTAGACTGAAGGAGTTCGTTGTTCATTCATTCTGAATTCAATAGGATCCGGAAGTTGCCGTCAGTCAATGCAAATGTGTTAGAGTGCTTTGGGCGGTGGTTTGCCTTTGTTGATTTGGGAAATGCTATGCGGTTCTGTTAGGGTTTGTTTTCATTGAATACCCTTTTATTTCTCCATATCCTTTAGGAAGTTGAATTATCGTGTGGGAACAATAGAAAATGTCAGCTCTTTCTCTTGCAGTCTGGAATAGCAGTGTTGCTTCTTGGGGGGGCGCTCAGTTTTCAAATGGCTTCTGTTTTGTCATTTCTATGGTCGTCATATGTGATCACTTGAACAGCTTCTCTCGACAACCATGAGTTGTTTTATTTGATAATGGTTTTCTTGGGCACACTTTCTGGGTTTCAAACTCTTAGCTGATAACAACTCCTAGAAATCTGACTTTTTTTTATCGTTTCTCATTGGACTTTTTTTATCGTTTCTTCATTGAAATTCAGTTTTCTAAACTTTTGTGCAGATCAGCAATGCTTGTAGAAATCTGTTGACCAGTCTGTTTGGGGTCTCTTTTATGTCTATCACAGTCTTTACTTTGAGGGGAATACAAAATAAGCCAGTTAGACCCTCTTCAGTATACAATCTTTTTTGCATGCATTTACGCATGAAATGGGTTCTAAAGGGAGGTTAATTTTTGATCTTAATGAACCCCCTGCCGAGGATGATGAGGAGACTAGCAGCATCCTCTTGCAGCCAAAGAAGGCACTTCTTGCTACATCTCAACAGACTTCTGATTTGTTACATTCATCGGTAGGTGCAGAAGCAGTAAAGAATAACCGTGCTTTCTCACATGCATCATCTCTCTCAGGTTTTCAGTCATTTACGCGCTCAAAGGTTATCCATGACCCTGAGGTGGGTCTTGTACGGAATATAGGACAGGATCAGAGTTCTAAGTTTGAGCATGCACTGGATTCAAGTAATGGTTATTACAATAAAACAGATCCTCAGTTAACTTCTGGTTATACAGTTGTTAAACCAGCAGAGAGAGAAGAAGGTGAGTGGTCTGATGCGGAGGGTTCTGCTGATGAATGTACAGGAAGTAGGAGCCTGCAAGCTCATGATCTCGTGAAATCCAAACTAGTAGCATGTACTGCTTCTGGCAATGGTAAAAATTCCATTTTTGATACAGCTATTGATGAAACAAAGTCAGAGAGCAGTGTTGATCATTCATCCCTAGAGCTGAATCAAGGTTTGTCTGATCAGAAAGGTGGGAGTGCTCAAAATTTAGACACCAGCAACAATCTTGATGTAACAGATGGTCTAGAAGATAGAGGGACAGTTCCAAAACAAAGAGAAGCAAAAGGTCCTGAAGCGAGTCATGCACTTAGGCTTGCAAATCAGCCAGTAAAGAGGAAAATAGACCACCAAAAAGAAGCAATGTTAGGAAAGAAGCGTAATAGACAAACTATGTTGATCAATATTGACGAGGTCAAGCAAGCTGGACCTATGAAATCTTTGACCCCAAAGAGACAGGTGACGGCCAGCCGAAATGTAAAAGAAATTCGAGCTGTTCTTTCTTCTGGTGGAGTAAAGCATGACATTTCTTTCGGCAAGGATCAGAAACAGGCCGATTTTTCATCAAATGAGGTTGGTACTAGTATGGAGTCTTCTCAACCCAAACCTGAAAGCTATGGTGATGTAAATTCATCAGAAGTAGCTAAGTCTAGGAAGCTTAATGGCGATGCAGATTCATCATTAGAGGTACAACTATCTCCTATTCCAAGACAGAGTTCATGGAAGCAACCAACTGATACAAGGCAGCAGAAGAACATGTACATGTCTAATCGGAAACCACCTTCAATCAGCCAAAATCTCATGGATTTAAAACCTGGGAGCAAAAAGAATGTTCCTGTGAAGAAGCCAGCTCTAACGGGTTCTTCATATCAGGACTCCTCAGTAGAACGTCTTATTCGGGAGGTGACAAATGAAAAGTTTTGGCACCATCCAGGTATTAAAGTAAAGACACTAACATGCATAGTGCGAGTCTGTTATCAGTCTGTGTACTATTTATATGTACAAAAAACTTTGATGTTTGTTTTTCCTGCCTTTTTTTGTATGATGAGAAAATCATTGGTATAGAGTCATTGATATATAGTGGCCTTGTATACACTCGGTCTTGCAAAAGTGTACAGATGCTTGTGTAGCTAAGGCCAGGTATGTGGAGGAGAGAAGAAATACATATGGTCTGCAGGCGGTAGAAAGTATGGCATTAAAGTGAAAGAAAAGTTTGATCTTATCTTCTGCTTAGGCTAGTTTGAGGACTTGTATGAATTTCCTATCCACTGTTGCTTGCTGTTTGCTTTTACTTGAATTCTCATTTCTACTCTTGTTTCCATCATCATTGAAAACTGATATAATGAGATTTTATGTCTCTCAGAGGATTCTGAGCTTCAGTGTGTTCCGGGCCGGTTTGAATCAGTGGACGAATATGTCAGTGTCTTTGAACCTTTGCTTTTTGAGGAGTGTCGAGCTCAACTTTATAGCACATGGGAGGAGTCTTCTGAAACGAATTCACACATAATGGTCCGGGTTAAAACTGTGGAAAGGCGAGAAAGAGGTTTGATGACCTGACACTATATTTTGTATTTATGTCTTACTCGGGTTCAATTCGCTTTCTTAACCTCTGTTTTCTCTTAGGATGGTACGATGTGATTGTCCTCCCAGTGAATGATTGCAGATGGACATTTAAGGAGGGTGATGTTGGTGTTCTTTCAAATCCAAGGCCAGGGACAGGTCTGTTATCCTTTCTTTTCTGTTCTAGTAATTGTTTTATTAAAGTTTGATTATTAAATCTCACTATGTTATACAGTCAGATCAAAGAGGAACATTGGCTCATCCAGTGAAGATGGTGATGAACTTGAGATGAATGGACGTGTGGCTGGCACTGTTAGACGACATATTCCTTTGGACAATCGTGATCCTGCTGGTGCAACCCTTCATTTCTATGTGGGGGGTTCATATGACACATACAGGTTGGTTATTCGTTTTTTTTATTTTTTATTTTTTTATTTTTAGGTTGGGAGTCTTCTTTTTTCAGCACTGTCTTATGCCGTTCTCGCCTTCCTGTTGGTTTCAGCGGCAAGGCTGATGATGATCATATCCTCAAGAAGCTTCAACCGAGGAGCATATGGTATCTGACTGCGCTTGGTTCTCTTGCAACCACTCAGCGAGAATATGTTGCCTTGCACGCGTTTTGCCGTCTCAACTCACAGGTACAGGCAGAATCAATTTCTACAATTACTGGGCTGTCTCTATTATATTATAACACTTATGATAATGTCGTTTTCATTGATTGAACTTGAACTTCTTGCTTCCTCGTATAGATGCAAAACGCGATCTTAAAGCCCAGTCCTGAGCATTTCCCAAAATATGAGCACCAGACACCAGTCATGCCCGAGTGCTTCACTCCTAATTTTGTTGACCATCTGCATAGAACCTTCAACGGGCCCCAGCTGGGAGCAATCCAATGGGCTGCGACGCACACAGCTGCTGGCACAAGTAGTGGTACAACAAAGAAACAAGATCCATGGCCTTTTACTCTTGTTCAAGGGCCTCCTGGAACAGGTAAGACGCACACTGTATGGGGGATGCTCAATGTGATCCATCTGGTGCAGTATCAGCATTACTACACATCTTTACTTAAAAAATTAGCACCACAGAGCTATAAGGCAGCCAATGAGGGCAGTACCGAGAATATTGTCGTAGGTTCAATTGATGAAGTTCTTCATAACATGGACCAGAATCTATTTCGCACACTTTCAAAACTATGCCCAAAGCCCAGAATGTTGGTTTGTGCTCCTTCTAATGCCGCAACAGATGAGCTTCTCTCACGAGTTCTCGATCGTGGATTTATTGATGGTGAGATGAAAGTCTACAGACCAGATGTTGCTAGGGTTGGTGTCGATTCACAATCGCGTGCTGCTCAGGCAGTCTCAGTTGAGAGGCGGACTGAACAGCTTCTAGTCAAGAGCCGTGAAGAGGTTTCAAAATGGATGCAAGATTTAAGAGGTCAGGAAGCTTATTTCTCAGCACATATTGCTGATCTACAGAATAAACTCAGTTTTGCAGCTGCTGATGGTCGTTCCCAAGGATCTGTTGGTGTTGACCCTGATATTCTCATGGCACGTGACCAGAACCGAGATGCATTGCTACAAAACCTAGCAGCAGCTGTTGAGAACAGGGACAAAGTCCTAGTTGAGATCTCTCGCCTTCTTATTCTGGAAGGTAGGTTCCGAAACAGTGGCAACTTCAATCTTGAAGAAGCCCGTTCTAGTCTTGAGGCAAGTTTTGCCAATGAAGCTGAGATTGTTTTCACAACAGTCTCTAGTAGCGGTCGAAAGCTGTTCTCTCGCCTTACTCATGGTTTCGATATGGTGGTTATTGACGAGGCAGCCCAAGCTAGTGAGGTTGGTGTGCTTCCTCCGCTTGCTCTTGGTGCTGCTCGTTGTGTCCTTGTTGGTGACCCCCAGCAACTTCCTGCAACTGTCATTAGCAAGGCTGCTGGAACATTGTTATACAGTAGAAGTCTGTTTGAAAGGTTTCAGCAAGCAGGATGCCCAACTATGTTGCTCTCTGTGCAATATCGAATGCATCCTCAAATCCGTGATTTTCCTTCAAGGTACTTTTATCAAGGACGCCTTACCGACAGTGAAAGTGTTATTAAGCTACCTGATGAGGTGTATTACAAGGACCCTTTGCTTAGGCCTTATCTGTTCTATGATGTTACTCATGGACGAGAATCTCACAGAGGCGGATCTGTTTCTTATCAGAATATACACGAAGCACAATTTTGTGTTCAGCTGTATGAACATCTCATGAAAACTTCAAGGTCATTGGGAATTGGGAGAATCACAGTTGGCATCATCACTCCATACAAGCTGCAACTGAAATGCCTTCAGCATGAGTTTTCCGAGATTCTGAAGTCAGAGGAGGGGAAGGATATTTATATAAACACTGTAGATGCTTTTCAAGGACAGGAGCGTGATGTCATAATCATGTCCTGTGTGCGTGCCTCCAGTCATGGTGTTGGCTTTGTTGCTGATATCCGACGGATGAACGTTGCCCTTACACGTGCAAGAAGGGCTTTATGGGTATGATCCTTTTTCGACATACTTGTCTATTTTTGTATCTGCACAAAAGCCTGATGCTTACTCAGATACTGGTTAATTTTCTCTCTTTATTAATTCCATATTTGTACTTTTCTATAAACAGGTGATGGGGAATGCAAGTTCTCTGATGCAGTCTGATGATTGGGCGGCATTGATAACTGATGCCAAAGCGAGGAGTTGTTTTATGGAAATGGATTCTCTGCCCAAAGATTTTCTTGGTTCCAAGGGAATGATGCCAGGCAACAAAGGCCCATCATTGAACGCAAGGAGTTTGAGATCTGGTGGTGGTCCACGATACAACAGATCTTTTGATGTTCATATGGAGTCCAGGTTAGGAACACCATCTGAAGATGCCGAGAACAACTCAAGTATAATCTCCAGAAATGGGAATTACCGGCCTTTTAATAACCCACCAATGGAGAATAATCCTGTGGAGAATTATGGTCAACAATCAGGTGAAAGGTCGAGGGAGTCCTTGCAGTATGGTGGTAAAAGGCTTTTTGGAAAAAGAGACTCGTAATTTAAACAGCACAATTTGCCATCTCTTCAGTTCAACCTTGGACTGTTTGGACTCCATGCAGCCAGCAATATCTGAGGCCCCAAGGACAAGGTGGCTCGTTGTTTCTCGTGGCATTATTAATCTGTAGAGCAAAAGCCTTGGCGGGGATTTGGATACATCTTTACACAATGGATAATGCAAGGAGCTAGCATGCTACATTTTCTGCTGCCAGTTTGACTTTCCATGTGCTGGTGCATTCCTTCGGGGTAGTCCTCCAGATGTCCCTCTAATTAATCCTACTTAATAGTAGTAGGGAAGGTGGAGATCTATCACATGCAGTGGCATGTGAGTTGGAGGAGGCAGCAATTGGAACACAACCCCTAGGCGACGTTTTTGTGCTTGGTGATGTGCTGATCGATTGTGGGAGGCAGGGGGCCCTGCTAGTGTGTTTTTTGTTTTTTTTTTTTTTTTTGTTTTAGCCTCAGTAGCTTGCCCTGCTTGTCCTGAAGGTGTTGCCACCTTGCCAGCATGAAATGTTTAAAAGACGGCCTACAATTTCTGTGCTGAGAATGAGAGACATATCAGTACATAGGCTTACATCTGAAAGCTTGATTGGTTAAGCTAAGATCTTTCTTTCTTCCTTACCATCACTGGCTTTGTTCAGTGGAGGGGAAAGGAGGGAGAAAAAAATTGTATGGGACTTGGAAAGTTGTGTATAGAGAAACAAAGAGGGGAAGTACAGAAATGGTGTAAACAGCATCTCACTGAAACTGAAGGCTCGATGCATTTTGTTAGTTCAACCTACTTGTATATACTTTCAGTTTGGCCAGTTGATCTAGCACCCATCCTTCTGCTCTCGCGAACTAGAACATGAGTTTCTCCTGAAATATGAACCACGTGATCAGCATCTCGGCCTCTACATAGGATCTCTATGCCCATTCATACAACTGGAGGGCATCTCCCTCTAGGTAGAAGGACACAATATACGCCTTCCTTTACTCTCTAGTGAGATAGTTCTTAAACCATTGATCTGTTGCATATAACCAAAGTCCAGCGTCCTCTTGACCATTTAGCTTTGGAAACTAAATGATCGGAGTCTACGAGTCGGATATCTAATTGTCTAGACCCTCATGAATCTGTTGCATTGTTAAACGCCACAGCCCTCGCGGCATCGTTAAGTTCTACGATGATGTTTAGCTTGCGGTGTTGTTGATCTCGCGACGCGACAATATTGTATTTCATAACAAAAATTAGTTTAGGTGTCAACAAATATATAAATTAAAAGGAAATTAAAGTAAGAGAAAAAAAAAAAAAACTACAACGACTTATGTCGTCGATTCTTCCGAATGAAAAAACTTTCTTTGATTTAGTCGTCAACACACATACTTGCTTGCATTAGGAATTACCTAAGTGATCAAATGAACCCACCGCCAACATTTTTACTATAAAAAAAGGGAAATGCGGGCATAAAAGAAAAAGGGAGCAGTAGTGCAGTACCACCAAAATCTGTAGTAGATTGTGCCAAAGAAATCTCCCTCTCTCTCTTTGATTAGTCAGCCGAGAAATTGATTTATATAGACAGCCATTTGGCGCCTAAGAAGTTAGAGCAGAGCAGAGTTAAAAATGAAGAGGAATCCCATCTCTACAACACACCTCTTAATCTTATCCGTCTTTTGCATCATCGTCTCTGTAACAATTGGCGTCGCGTATGGCAGGGTACCGAATCCGGCAGGCTTCAAAATCCGAGCAGTGAACCTTGGAGGATGGCTGGTCACGGAAGGCTGGATCAAACCTTCTCTCTTCGACGGCATACCCAACAAAGATTTCTTGGTATCTATCTATGATCTATCTATCTCCATAAACATTTTCAAATGCTCGTCAACTGGTTAGCTCTCAGATCTACCTTGTTACACACTCCCAGGACGGAACCGAACTTCAGCTGAGATCAGTCACCGTCGGGAAGTACCTGTGCGCAGAGAACGGCGGCGGGACTATCATTGTCGCAAACAGAACATCGGCATCTGGGTGGGAGTCGTTCAGAGTAATTAACTCATTTTAGACTCTGTTTTTGTTGCTCGAGAATGAATATGAATCCCGAAATCTGGTTATTTAATGAGTGGTATTTGAAATTTTGCTTCATTTTGGTGTGGGGAAGCTGTGGAGAATCAACGAGACGAGTTTCAATCTGAGGGTGTTCAACAAGCAATTCATGGGGCTCGGTGGTGGGGATGGAAACAAGGTTGAGATTGTGGGGATCTCCGAGACGGCCGGAGAATCCGAGACGTTTGAGATCGTGAGGAGGGAGAGCGACCCAAGTCGGGTTCGGATCAGAGCCGCTTCGAATGGGCTGTTTCTGCAAGTGAGGAGCGAGGAACTGGTGACGGCGGACAGTTCAGGGGCTGGGGATTGGGGAGACGACGATCCCTCGGTTTTCGCGATGACAATATCTGGGAGATTGCAAGGAGAGTTTCAGGTCACCAATGGCTACGGTCCAAGTTTGGCGCCGCAAGTTATGAGGGTAAGTAGAAATTAAATTCTGAATTGCTTGCCCCTAACCATGAGTTTTGACTTTTGTCAATGTTTACGCTGCCTTGCCTCCCCTGCTTTCGTGGACTTTTGCCGGCCATTGCCAACTTCGAATTGGGTGCTCGGTACTCGCTCTCTCCCCTTTTTGGGTTTCCCTTTTCCTCCGCACTCACGGAACGGAATATATTCTCGCCTTTTAGGAAAGTAACCCGACCCGGTCCAGCTCAGATGTGCGGCCAAAAGCAAATTTGGCCAAGTTGTCATCCGATTTGGCGTAAGATGCATTTAGGGTTGTATATGAGCCAAGCTACTTGCGAGCAACTCTGAGACTCGAATTGGGAAAAACTCGTTCGAAACACGATTCGTTTACTGACGAGCCAAGCTTGTGCTTAGCTTTGTTCAGCTCGTGAAGCTCGCGAGCTAGCTCGACTAAGTGGCTTGTTGAACTCAAATCGTGAGTTGGCTCATTTAGAGCTCATGAGATGTCTCACCATTGTGGTTTGAGGGTCAACTTGATCACCGACTTATGAACTAATCGATCTAATTTGGACTTTCATAATTCATAGGATTGTTAAATTATATATCTCACATCATGTGAAGTTTAACATGTTGAACATGTAAGAAAATATGCCTTATTTTTAATTCTATAAAGACATTATGTATAAAATTGTTTCGATACTATGAAATAACATGATTTGAACTAGTTAAAATTTATTAACTAAACAATATGACACCTAAAAATTATAATATAAGATTAATTAATGTTAAACATTTGATTATTTTTTTATCGCTACATCAATCACATGTACCATACATGACATACAAAATGAATGTATCAAATATGATCTAATAATTTAGTAAACAAGCCTAACTCGAACTCGACTCGACTCGGCTCGTTAATAAATGGCTCGGGCTCAAGCTCAGCTCATTTGTTAACGAGTCAAGCTCAAGTTGGGGTAAAACTCGGCTCATTTGCAGCCCTAGATGTGTTTAGACTTTAGTGGTTTGTTTTGTGCCAAAAAAAAAAGAGTCGAGGCGTTTGTAGTTGTTCCATTTACATTGAGCTGACCAATGCAGTATAAATTATGTTTTAAAATTTAAAAAGTTTACTGTTTTACGTTTTTAGATCATCAAAATATTTTCGTTTTCATATAAAATTTTTAGTGTATAAAGTAGGACAAAATTGCGCTTTAATGGTTAAAAATTTACGCTTTTACGCTTCTAGTTCACCAAAGCGTTTTACACTTTTACGCTTTTAGTTCAGTAAATAAGTATTAATTTTATGAAATTAACTATAAAATGTATATTTTAAAGGTAAATCATCAACAACATGATACATTTGAGATTAAAAGAAAACATACAAGGTACTTCTATCTATTCTCAGCTTCAATAGAGTAATTAAATTCACCAGCTAGGCCCTTCCTAAATTCATTAGCATAGAGGGGAATGTGGCTACTTTAGATATAAATTGCAGCTATTTATAACTTATCTAAATTACGTGCACTCATATTTCACATAGTATATGTCGTACTAAATAGATTTTTAGCTAATTTACAGTATGCGTAAAAAACTTATGTTTTTAAGATTTGATTCTATGCGTTACAATTTTACAACTTTTTCGCTTCTAGGTAAAATCGTGTTTTGACTGCATAGGAGGTGACAATTTGATTTAAATTTATTTTAAATGGATTTCATTTAATAAGTCATTTATTTAAATAGAATCTATTTAATTCAAATTTAACTGGATTTTTCTATTTATGGATATGATTCATGAATTATTGAAAAATTATAGCATAGTACTTATAGTTTTATTTTTGACAATTTGATAGCAAAATATTAATTTTTTAGGAAAAATAGAAATAAATTTACTTTTTAATATCTTAAATTTTCAAAATGTCCATAATAGTCGAAGATTTAGATGCCACTTGAATTCACGGATCCAATCAATGAACTTAATTCATTTGTCAACTCTAAGTGCATATGATGACATATATATTATAAAAATCGTTCCGGTGACAAATAAGGTCATCAAGTAATTATATCGTAGATTTCAATATGGTGGTCACAAATTTAAATACATTAAGTAGCCTGTAATAAGAAGCGAACATGAATTTTGTCTAGCAGTACTACCACTACTCTTCAACATAGAGATTTGAGATTCGAATCTCCTAAATAACACCTAATACCTAATAATAAAAACTATTTTCATGTAATATAAAAACAGATGATGTCATCCGGAAAACCAAATTAATTATATGGGGAAGATACATCTGTTAACAAACAAGAATTGACAGTTGATTGCTAATTAAACTTCTGGAAAAAAAAATTGATTTGCTATGGTAATCCTATCTATATTATTACTAGAATCACGAAAAACATATTAAAATAACCGAATTTGTCATAATTAGTATAATTATAATGAGGTATGTTTGAATAGCCAAGGATTTATTTGGCATAGTTCTGATTATCATATAAATTGGTTGGATACTAAGTAAATATGATATTTGGCCCTGCTCAAATACAAGAGGTGAATTTCAATTATATATTTAGTATAATACTTGTGAATTTCAAATATATATTAACAGAGAATTATTGGAAAATCCATGTGGCATAAAACAGAACATATTTGTTAATTTCTCAAAGTTTAGATACTATACACAAGGGAAAAACAAGCACCGTAATTTTACTTCCAAAATTTGCTTCCGACATCAAAATTTCTCATTTCAATTTTGTACATATCTAGTTTGGATTGAACAGTTACATAGATTTGGTTTACAGAAATATTACTACCCTTATTAGCAACATTCGTGAACTAGACATGCTACTGTTGGCGTGTTATGAAGCTGGGTGTGGTTTACCCAGTGTAGTGTTCTTTTTATTTTTTATAGATAAGAGTGATATTACCATATTATGTTTTATTTAAGGGGTTCGAAACTGAAACCTCTAAGTTCGAAGCTAGTAATATTACTACTAGACTAAGTCCTTGTTCGTGGTGTAGTGTTACTAACAAATTGAGAGTGAAACACACATCTAATCCTTCTCGTGCCGAACAAGCCATCTTTCAATCTTTTTAAGCCCACACCAAAGTTAGGTAGGATGAAGGATGGCTTGTGAAGGATGGCTTCATCGCCACGAGAAGGGTAAGATGTTTGTTTCACTCTCAATTTGTTGGTAACGGCTTCATAAATTTAAAAAATGAGAGTCTTTGTATTTCAAAAACCCAAAGATTTATCAAGGATTTGAGGTATATTATGAGATATTATGAATTTGTAACAATTCTTTGTTTGTTGATATGTTTTATCATAGATTTAATGGTTTGTAATTTAGAACTTAAAGTCCAAAATTACCTTACTATACTTTTCAATTTGTTTTCATGTTTATCATATGTGCACACAACAAGGACAATACGTACTAATAAGTATAATGGTGTCACAAGGACAATACACACTAACAAGCTAAATGTGAGGGCAACCTTAGAATATTAAAAGGTCATGAGGGTATATAGGTAAAATCTCATCATGAATTTATGACATGTTCCCAATCCCACATCAATATGTGGGGATTTACAAGTCTGTGGAGTTAATGGATTTGATCCTTAAAAAAATGCAAACAAAATGTATTTCCTTTAAATCCACGATGGAATGCATTTGGGTACCAAATCCATCATCCAAATCCACGAAGCATACGACCCTTAAGTTGTTAACACTAGTTCCAACTAATAAATACATTTCGTTTTGATAATTTTTCATTTTAAAGGATCGATCACAATTAATGAATATTTTTTTCTTTTCGTTATTAAAATTTGAGAGAGTGTTTCTACCAAAAAAAAAATTTGAGAGAGTGAAACACACGTGTGTGTTTTGCATCAATGGAGGAGAGGTGCATGAATTAGGGTAACCGTAAAACAAAAACTAAACAACAAAACAAAGTACACCACAAAAATAACAGAAGGTTTAGAAAACATACCATAACCTCACCCCGCCATAGAATTTGTAGAGCATACTAGAAAGGTCAGACAACATAATAAAAAGGTTAATACAATTTAATAGCCAAACCTTTCATTTTAAACAAAATATTAGCCAAACCTTTTCAAAAACAATTTAATAGCCAAACCGTCAACTTTCCGTCCGGTCAACCGTTAGTTGACTCTGACGTGGCAAAATGTTTAATAAATTTTCAATGACGTGGCAAAAAGTAAAAAATTTGACTTGCCACATGGATATACCAAAAATTAATTTCTGTTTAGAAAAGAAAATAAATTAAAAAGCCACTAAAAAATAGCCACCACTCTATTATCTCCTTGCCTGTTCGCATCCCCTTCTCTCCAATCTCCATCGAAACTCCATGAATGCTTCCATTTCCAATCCTCCGATGAAACCCAGCCATCGTTGCCCACCGTGGGCCGTGACCTAATCCCTATGTTGTCATCGACACCTACCACCCAAGCCAATGAGCTATTGCTGACAATTACTCGAACGCTACATAAAATCGCCAAAGGAGCAAGGCTTGCTTCGATTCCACAAACGAGCTTACATCTTTCTCACCTTTCAACAATACGAAGAGAATGAAAATAGAAATCCCCAGCAAACCTGGGTTGCCTCGAACAGACTCAATCCACTTTGAGAACCCCAAATCAACTCCACTCCTGTTGCCGCCGCTCCCCTCCACACCATCCAAATCTAAACAAATTAAACTGAAACCCATTTATCTATGTGTCAAACTAAGAGAATCAAAAGCTAAATCCAATCAATACATTGCCCAAATCCCCTACTCTTCCTCGCTTCCAAAACCCCTGTGGCTCTTCCTCTGTTACCCCTTTCCTTCCCCTCTCTCTTCATCGCTTCCGATTCCCTAAATCCAAACTGCTTGATCGCTCTAGCAATCGTCGGCGACCCCATTTAAGAACGACGGATCGAACTGGAGTGTCGAATCTTTGCTTGTTTCCATGGAAGGAGGTAGGTGAAAGCATGACGGGAAGAAGCGGAGGTTCTCGGACGACGAGGTGGTTGCTGCTAACGAAAAAGTTTGGGAGATATCGAGGGTTTCGAAGTTTCTTGGCCGGAGAAGAGAGGGGAGGAGAGGGGAAGGGATGGAGAGTGTTCCATTATTGTTTTTTATTTGTTTTAATAATAAATAATTAGTTTAAAATATGTATGTGTGGCACAGTTAAATAATTGTCATTGCCACGTCTGCACGAATTAGTCACATAAGAGTCAACTAACAGTTGACCAGATGGACAGTTAACGATTTGGCTATTATTTTGTTTTTTGAAAGGTTTGGCTATTCTTTTGTTTAACCGCAAAAGATTTGGCTAATATATTGTATTTACCCTAATAAAAAGCTTATAAAACCTACCAAAACATCACCACAGCACAAATACCAATTATTTATTAAACATCATAATTCTCCTGATGAAACATATTAGAAACCTAATAAAGTATCACAAACTTGTTAAATCGCACCACAACGCTGCAATGCGCCCTCAATCCGCCTCAAAATGTCTATTCCAGTCTCTTCAAAGAAATTCCCTACTCAAGATAATTTTTGGTCCAAGTTTATTCAATAATGCCCCCTTCTCGCTGTTAGTGTTGTGGTATATGATCCACGATTGTCATGAACCAGTTACTCCCAATAACTAGAGTTGTTGGGAGAGGTTCAATCGTGGATCATATACCACAACACTAACACGCCCCCTCAAACGAAAGCCACTCACAAGGGCTGGAAGTTTGCAAGACAAGAATACCATGTGCTTAACAAATGAGGGTCATTGGGAATCGAACACAAGACCTCTCGGTCACAGAAGGCTCTGATACCATGTCAAGAACCAGTTGATCCCAATAACTCGAGTTATTGGGATCAACTGGTTCTTGACATGGTATCAGAGCCTTCTGTGACCGAGAGGTCTTGTGTTCGATTCCCGGTGACCCCCATTTGTTAAGCACATGGTATTCTTATCTTCAGACATGTGCAAACTTTCATCCCTTGTGAGTGGCTTTCGTTTGAGAGGGCGTGTTAGTGTTGTGGTATATGATCCACGATTGAACCTCTCCCAACAACTCGAGTTATTGGGACCAACTGGTTCTTGACACTCGCTAGGAAGCGGATATGGACAGCTACTAGCTAGGAGACAGAGAAACAAGAACAACAGTCAACAGGACAAGATGAGTAAATACTATGTACAATAATTATCATAATAGTATTGTGATAATTGTGATTTGGATTTTTAAATGTCAAATCATTTGTTTGGATATTAATTATATTTGGTATTTGGATTTGTGCCAAATTTATGGGACGATTTCCAAATACATGTCTAGTGTATTATTTGTCAACTTCAAATACATTCCAACAACTAATGATGTGAAATTCCTCCTAAAAAAAGATTGTACCTATTTGTAACATTTTAAAAGTTTAGGTATTATAGTGTGAGGAAAAATATATAAAGGTACCAAAATTTAATTTCACCAGCAAAATTTCAGGATCTTTTTGTAAAATTTTAAAAATTTAGGTACTAAATTATAAGAAAAAATAAACTTGGGTACCAAAATTTAATTTTCCAATTTTTATAATAAGTGACCAGAAAATTGAAAATAAAAATTCTAAATATTTAAAATACCAACAAATTACAAATGAGTAACCAAAAAACGAATTTGAATTACATGTATTTCAAATGCACTCATTTTAAATACATGTTCAAATACATTACATTTGAAATACACATATCCAAACGCAGGCTTATAAGTTATAATTTTTTGTTAGTAGGGTTCTAATACTAAGAAGTGCTACCACCCAATCCAGTCTTGTTGCCCATAGGGTTGCGGCGGTGAATCTCTTCCCCATCATAGCTAGTATATTATATATAAAGAGTTGTAAGCCCCTACAAGAACACAAGTGATTATCGTATAAGTTATGGACTAGTCCTGAATTACGGAGATATAACGTAAATCATGTATGTATTAATCTGCGTATCAAATTGCTTTAGATTGGAGATCCTAGCTAAATCTGATGAAGACTGGATGCTTTGATTATTTCAGGAACATTGGAACACATTCATAGTGGAAGAGGATTTTAAGTACATATCCGAGAATGGGATAAATGCGGTGAGAATACCAGTGGGTTGGTGGATAGCCAGTGATCCGAACCCGCCTCCACCCTTCGTAGGCGGCTCCTTGCAAGCCTTGGACAACGCCTTCTCTTGTGCACAGTAACTACCCTCTCAACCTTTATATTTTTACATATTGCATATAAACATAAATGAGCATAGATAATTAAAGTTGAAGGTGTTAATGATACAAATTAGTTCTTTTCTATATTAAATACTTCAACGTAGTTTAGTTATGTTATGTACCAATCACACCTTTTTTTTAGGGTCAAACATCTTAGTTTGGCAACACTTTACACTAAAAAATTACTTTGGCTGAACTTTTTGAAATCTCTAATATGTCTAAACTTCCAAAATAATTATCCCACTTTGCCTGACTTTTTGGTTGACCGTTGGAAGGTCAATATCTCGACCCTTAGTGGGTCACTCTCTATAACTTAGGTGGATGCCATATCAACTAAAATTTTAAATTAGATTTTAAAGATAATATAAAAAAATTCATATATTTTAGTAAATATCATAAAATAAAAAATATTAAAAAATAAAACATTGACACATTGTGGACGGGGACTACTTGTATCTCACTAAAACAAAGTTATTTTTCCTCCTTTTATTACTAGTTGACCCACTATATCCCCTTGCTACTTCATCACAACACTCATTGTCGTCCTCAGCCTCGTCAAGCTCTCTACCTCCATCGCTTCTTAAGACCGAGTTATGGTCACAACCATGAGCTTTTGTTCTCTCAGTTTCCTGACTATGGCTGCAACCGTCTTGGTCCACTTTTCTTCTCCTTTTTAGCTAGATATGTCGTCTTTATCTCTTTAGATTTGATTCCGAAACTCATGACTGAACTCCCCGAGCCCGAATCCCCAAGAGTCCAATTTGCGCAACTTCTTCCCTTTGATATTTTTAACGTCATCTACGCAATTTCCAACTTCCACTCATAGTGTTTGGCTGATCCTCCTTTATGTTTTTTACGATTAGAATTACAAATTATTGTTGGGCGATTAAGAGCATCACATGGGATGTAATTGATAAAAAGGATGTTTTGATGGGGAAATTCATTTCGAGGGATTTGACCTCAAATTCCTCATTGAAAATCTCATTTGACCATGTTGTAGGCTTTGACGAGATCCACTTCTCTACCATTTAGGGTATATCCCCATGTTTTGCTCACATAGAGTGAATGACCTCTTGTAGAATGCAAATATTATCTGTGATGTCTCTTCAAGATGAAACTAGTCTGGGTCTCGTTCACAAGCTCCAACATGAACAGTTTTACCTCCTTCGCTAACCATTTAGTCACTACTTTGTAAACCACATTCACCCTCTCCCTTGCCCTGTTTCGTCGCCGTCGACGAGCAAAGTATCTTCACACCAGCTCGTCTCGAGGTTCTAAGGCGATCGTTGTTAACATGAACTTCTAGGCTACAAAACTTACTTCATTCTTCAAACCACTTGTTTCCCCTAGTTCCTTGGCTCGATTTGCGATCAATTGTTGTTGATTTGGTCAAACTTCAGCCGACAATAACGGTTTAAGCACATATTGTCAACCTTCGTGCTTTAGTTTATAGCAATTGGTTCCTCCGTAGTGCCATACCTTTCGATCAAATTGACAACGACGACCAAGTAATAAGTGGCAGCCTGCATAGGTGCTACATCAAACAAGAGCTCATCCTTGCAGCTGCCGATTTCTAACAGAACTCTTGCTTGTTTGGTAACCTTGATCGCACCATAATCGTTTAGCCAATACAAATTGTACGGCTCTGGATGCCTACACTACTCATGCCAAGTTTCTTGACGACATCCCCACTGAATACGTTCGTACAGCTCCCTTCGTCGATGATCAGAGACAACAAATTATCATTAACGAGACAACGCGAGTGAAACAAATTATCTCGTTGTTCTATTGAGGCCCGAGCTTCGATGGTTAAATCCCTCCGATTCATCATCATGAATTTTCCAGTTGTAGGGGCATTAACAACAATCTCTTCATCCACATCTTCTTCAGACGATTTGTCATCGTTCTTCTTCTCGTCCTCATCGTCACTGATGTACTTGTCATCACGCAAATCAGAGTCTTCATGTTGGGGAATTGGTTTGCCTTGTGCCCTCTGCCATGGCACTTAAAGCACTAAATTTCCCCACTGGAACCTCTATTTCGTTCTTGAAGGACAAGCGTGACATTTTTAGCTGAAGACTTGAAGCCATCTTTCTTAAACTGGTGGTTAATGGGCTTGACAGTTTGCTCTGGGGTCAGCTTGGTGGCCGAAGGAAATTGTCTTCCCAGAGCCAACTTTAATTGCCTCTCAACTTTAATTGCGAGATGAACCACCTCCTCAAGTTCTAAAAAGGGTTGAAGGTCAACTTCATGATGGATTTCACGATTCAGGCCACGAAGAAAACATGAAATCGTGGCCTCCTTATCCTCGGCCACATCATGAGCAATTCCAGCTCTTTGAAGTAATCATCAACATACCGATTTCCTTGGCGAATCCCTTGTAGTGATTCGTGCAGCTCACTCTGATAATAACCTGACACAAATCGCTCACTCATGAGTCCTCGTAGCTCAGTTCATGTCGCAATCTCCGGTTGCAAATCCCTTCTTCGGCATAATCGAATCTGCTTCCACCATTGATCAACGTAATCCATAACTTCGTACGTAGCCAAGATTACCTTCCGTTGTTTGGAGTAATTACCGCATTGGAAGAACAATATGATCTTCCTTTCCCAATCCAAATAAGTATCAACATTGTTGGTGCCTTGGAAGGAAGGAATTAAGCGCCTAAGCACTCGTAATTCATCAATGATTCCCTGATCTATTTCCGGGTGGCCGCTCTCTGTAATCACGACGATCATGTGTCTACTGTCCAGGATTGGTGTCAGGCCATATCATCTCATGCTTTAGCTCCTAGATTCGCGCCATTAAAGCACGATTAGAGGCGTTTGCATCACCTTGGTCACGTTCTCCTTCCAGATCCTGACGATTCCCCTACGGCGGCGGCGACGGCAGGGCATCAAGCCTTTACGCTTGTTGCTCTAACTGCTATTCAATCTTTTCGAACTATGCATGAAATAGCTTACTCATCTGCGTGGTTAATTGAACATCCTCATCATAGTGAGATTCTTCCTCTGAACATGATCAATTGTTTATCCATTGTAGTCTCGTCCAATTGAACATCCTCATCATAGTGAGATTCTTCCTCTGGTTCTCGATGGGAAATCAGATCCTTGGACCTTGTTCTTGATTAGACTAGTCATTGTGCTTTTGATCTCGCCACTATTTTTGAACCAAGCTCTGATACCACTTGATATTAGCAAGATCGGCCTACTCAATGAATCAGAATCACGCAGCCAAGTTCTAGTTGAATTGAAGAACTCGAACTCAAGCAAGCAAACCAACTAGGTCGATTTACTTGCGTAAGATGGAATCGATTTTGCAATCTCGTATCTTGGGAGAAGGCTTGACTCGTTCCAACTACAACACCCCGATCGACGACCAAGTATAACCGTCAACCAAATGTAGCATTAGGGCAAGCAAGAAATAATAATGTATCATACCACGGGGATCTTGGCTTACTCTACTTCAGGTTTGGGGTTCGTTATCTAGCCAACCTAGGATAGTGGTTAAGAGAATTAAACTAACTAACCTAGATAACCACTAACCTAGCTATTTACATGTTTGGGAGCTCTCTTGGGTTGAATCCTCCTAGATCTGTCGTAGGATCAATGTTGGGTGTCCTCCTAGCTCGATCGAATCACTACCCTACCGTTAGGAGATGAACTCCCTCAGGACAGACCCGAAACGGTGAAGTGATGGACGGGTGGTGCTCTATTCAACCCAGGGCACCCCTATATTGTAGAAGCTCTATCCAATCGACTCCCTCGGGGATTACCCAGACAATATAGGGTGAGGAGTGACCCGAAGACACCAAGAAAGGGGCTCTAAGGGGATTTTCTCCCTCCTAGGTCAAAAGTTCAAAACATGAAAATGGAATCCAAACTCATGCCATTCATGAAAACCATCCATAACTTAGATAATAAACCTAATCAAACATGAAATTCGTCACATACAACAACACCCAAACAAAATCTAGACCTAGAGTTATTAAACACAAGAGGAGAGGGTGAGTTTCTAGAGAGAAAAGAGAGAAATTACAAACAAAGCACAAGATCTTCTTCTTCTATGCTTGATTCCTTGCTTCCAAGCTTGATCAATGCCTTCAATTAAGCTCCAAGATCACTCAAGAACTCACTCACTCTCTCTCTCTCTCTCTCTCTCTCTCTCTCTCTCTCTATAGAACTCCCTTTGGTGTTTTGGGTCGAAACCCTAGAGAAAGAAACTAATTCCTCTCCAAAAAGCAGCTCCCCTTTCTCTCTCCCCCACTGTTGTCTTTAAATTTGCCCAACATGGCCCATTTCACAGTCGGGGACCTCAGTTCACGGTCTTAGACCGTGAACTGACTTGAGCCTAGTAACTTGCAAAACCGTTCTGCAAATTGGTCACTTCAGGGTCAGGACTTTCAGTTCACGGCCTTAGAGACCGTGAACTGAAGCTCCAGCCCGTGAACAGGGCTCAGCCTACACTTTTTGGCTCGTTTTGACCTCCGAATGACCTGAAACTCGTCCCCGACCTTCTCACATGCTAGGACCTGAAATGTAACAAAACAAGCACAACCTAGTGTAAAATAGGTCGAGGAACGGTGATCTATTAAGCATAACGGATAAGAAATGTGGGGGAAAATGTGTACATTTGGACCCGAATCTCTCCTCCACACTTGAACATTTGCTTGTCCCCAAGCAAAACAAGTACAACACGAGGTAAGCTTACAACTTCTTTTCTCAACCAAAATTTTGGGGCATGTCATAAACAAAGTAATCATGGCAGCCACCATAAACGATATTCAACTATATTAAGATTGTGCAAAAGAAGAGTTCTCACATTATTCACAAACCAACACACAACATTCCCCGACGACTCACCAATCACAATCACTCATGCATGAAGATCACATCATAGGAATGAACGATCGAGCAACCTATGTCCTCATCGGGGTATAAGAAATGAACAAAGCATGATGAATGTATAGAGGTAAACAACATGTACGTGTTTCTATAGATTGTATGCCAAGAAACACTTCTAAGAGCATGTTCAACATTTATTATACTTTTGGTGGACACTCTCTTTTCTTCTTTTCCCTTTTATTTATTTCTTTTTCTCTTTTTCCTTTCCTTTCCTTTCCTTTCCTTTCGTTTTCTTTTCTTTACTCTTTTCTTTGATGGCTATAGAGAGAACATGCCACTCTTTTTTTTTACATAAGGAACAATGCTCACTTTTACGAACTACCTCCACACTCACTTCACATTCTTAGCAAAAATATACACAAATCACTCATGTGGAACCTCGTTTAGGCTCAAATGGTATGAATAGAGCTTCCAAACACAAGGGTGACACCATAATGGTATAGTCTCGAAGAAAGTAGGTTCGTTCTATCTAAATTAATCAAGCTCAAGTAGCGAGAGCTACCTAAAATGAGAACGATCCTTCGACACACAGCTCAAAGGGGTTGACTAGGGGATGATACGATCGGGACAATCAACATTTTGGGTCGTGGACTAATCCTATGCCTCCATCTTCCTCGCTAGCAACAACGTGAACGCTACACATCATGTAAAGGGGTAACTATCGCACAAGAACGAAATGAACGACACAAGTCTAACATGGCTACCTAGGTGCTCAATCATTCGTTCTAACTCCCTAAACTCGATGTATAGGAAACTGTGAAAAGAGAGTAATCTATTCAAAACATCTATCACAAACACTTGAGAAATGAACCTATGCACAAACCTAATACAAGTCTCAATCATCATCATAGGTTGCACACAATCACAAGCAGATCATCCACATATAATGCTAATAACAACGAGATTCAAAACAAATCACCAAAGTTGCCACTATGATCACACAAACATAGAAGTTGTTATGCTTGGAGCCCTCAAATTTTAAAAATTTGGGCATACAACTAGGCTCAAGCATTCAAAATCACACCAAACATTCACACAACATGCATAATAAACTACCCCCCCCCCCCCCCCCCCCCCACACACACACACTTAAGCTCGACATTGCCCTAAATGCCGTAAAATAAGGAGGTAGAACGATGTTACCGGATAGTGGTGAATGTTGGTGTTCAGGAGTGGAGGGCGGGTGAGATCCGGAAGAGCGTGGAGACCGCAAAACACCACCAAAATCTCTCCAATGGTCGTCTTATTGAAAAGGAAAAGAGATGCAAACCGATGATGGTTGGGTTGCCTCCCACCAAGCGCTTCTTTAACGTCGTGAGCCGGATGTTTTCTCCTCAAGTTTCGGTCTACCCAAGAACCTCCTTGAAGTTGAGATTCTCGTCGGTGAGGTGGTGTCTCAAGTCACGAGCTTTGGACGAATCCATGATTGAGGGCTCGTGAACTTGAGTTGTCATGAGGCTCTACCCACGAGACCTCTCATTCTTTCCTTCATCTTCCTTCTCTTTTCCCCACACCATGTAATGCAAACTTGATTTACTTCTACCGCATCCACCAAGAGGGATCACCGATGGTTTGGCCTTGGCTTGGCAAAGCGACGCCAATGGGTCCTTCTCAAGTAATGCGTCGAGGTTGGGTGGAAAGTCGTGATAGTACTTATAACTTGTGGATGCTTCATCCACCGCGACCTCGTCCTCAACTTGGACCTCACTTGCTACTTCTACTTCTACCGCAACCTCCCTTCTTTATTCTTCAATTTCCTCCCTTTGGGAAGAATCAAGACCTTCCTCCTCTTCAACGCTCCATTTTTCCTCTTCAACCTCCTCCTTGTCCTTCCCATTCATGTCGTCAAGCACGGTATGGAGGGTAAGATGCCATGCAAGATCATATAAAGGATTCTCTTTCTCCTCTACACTCTTGACTTGGTCTTCAAATTTGCTCGCGGGAAGGGGAAAGTGGTGAAAGTCGTCAATGGAACCTTTTTGTTCATCCTCACCACGGGAGCTCTCTGGGGTGAGTTCGTCTTGCTCCACATGGTTGTCATTGATCGCTCCATCAACCTCCTCTTTCTCTGCCAATGATGAGAGGCGATAGCTTGCACAAGCTCGTGTCACCTTCTCTTCAAGTGTCAATCCGGGTGGAGGGAGGGGTTGGAAATCCGTGTTAGAGCTCGGTCTTTCAAATTTCTCCATGGCAAGCTCCAATTTAGACTTCTCTTCGGGTTGTGGGGGATCCAATTTTGAGCACCCTTCATCGGTGCCTCGAGCAAACCGCTCCACCATGAGCTCCAACTCGCTCTTTGGCAACAATTTTGGAGTGGCGCATGGTCTTGAAGAATGTCTCATGAAAGCCCCCATGGCCAACTCCAACTTAGATTTCTCCTCAGGTTGTGGAAGGAAATCTTCTTGATATGGGGAAGCTTCTTCATATCCCCAATGGTATGGTTGTTCTTCTTGGAAGGGAGGTTGATCATAGAACCCGGTTCCTTGGCTTCCACCCTCTTGGCTACTCCATGAAGCTCCGGAGTACCCACATTCGGGTGGTTGTGGATACCCCCACATGTTCTAGAAGCCATTGGGATCCATGATTCAACCTACAAACACCAAAAAACACAAAAACAAAATCAAACAAACGCAGACCACCCTTCAAGTGAAGAGTGGGTGAACAAAACTCATGACAAAATGCAAACACAAACGGCTAAAGTAACGACCTAACCCTTTTTCAAATAACCTAGAATGGCTCCCCGATAACGACGCCAAAAACTTGACTCGTTCCAACTACAACACCCGATCGACGACCAAGTATAACCGCCAACCATGTGTAGCATAGGGCAAGCAAGCAATAATAATTTACCGTACCACGGGGATCTAGGCTTACCCTATTTCAGGTTTAGGGTTCATTATCTAGCCAACCTAGGATAGAGATTAAGAGAATTAAACTAACCTAGCTAACCACTAACCTAGCTATTTACAAGTTTGGGAGCTCTTTGGGTTGAATCCTCCTAGCTCCGTCGTAGGATCGATGTTGGGTATCCTCCTAGCTCGATCGAATCAATGCCCTACTATTAGAAGATGAACGCCCTCGGGATGGATCCAGAACGGTGAAGCGATGGACGGGTGGTGCTCTATTCAACCTAGGGCACCCCTATATTGTAGGAGCTCGATCCAATCGACTCCGTCGGGAATTACCTGGACGATATAGGGTGAGGAGTGATTCAATCGAGCTCCATAGCCACTTTGAGCCCTTCTTTCAAAGGCTTCCAGGTACCCTTTAGCTCAACCGACTCCAGTACGTTCTTCAGTGAGTCTCATACTTTCAATCCCAACTCACAGCTCTCTTCGTATGCTCCCCAATCGTTTCGAATAGGCCTCCAAAGTAGGTAGCTTGAAACCGTTTCTATACATAGCCAAAATTCCATAATTGTGTTCTTCTTTGCTCCATGGTTCGATTCCAACTTTGCACTTCAATGGAGAACGCTCAAAATCACAAACCATATTCCCCCTGCCCCCACCTAAATATCCACTGCATGCGCTATCATGTTTTGTCAAACCACATCTAGTTAATTACTCTAGTTGCATTGTGCAACTAATCTATGGCTCAACAATAATCTCTATATTAGGACAGTATTACCCTACTGTCATGCCTGGAGGGAGGGACTCAACCGTTGTTGGCCAATCAGTCGGTGGCAAGCTGCGATCACAATCGAATCAAACCTCTATATGCTCGATGTACGTTTCACGAGATTTGTGGAGTTGTCTCTTGTTCCTTAGTTGATTATTTATAGTTATGTGCAATTTAGCGTAATATATTTATTTTGAAAACTTTGTCGATATATGTGCTTAATATATAATTTTTATACTTTTGAAAAATATTGCAGAAAATATGGATTGAAAGTCATAGTTGACTTGCACGCGGCCCCAGGCTCACAAAATGGGTTTGAACATAGCGCTTCAAGGGACGCTTCTCAGCAGTGGGGATTAACCCATGAAAATATAAGACAAACCATTAATGTGATAGACTTTTTGACTGCAAGGTACGTAAAGAGCCCAAGCTTGTATGCCATCGAGCTAATAAATGAACCACTATCTCCTGGAGTGTCTTTGTCTAGCTTGGAAGAATATTATCAGGGAGGATATGACGCCGTTAGAGCCCACTCTCAAACGGTATACGTAGTGTTGTCAAACCGATTAGGGTCTGAAGCCAAACCCAGAGAGTTGTTTGCACTAGCCAGTGGATTCAAAGGAGCCGTGATCGATGTTCATTACTACAGTCTCTTCTCCAACATCTTTGACAACATGACCGTCCAGGAAAATATTGATTTCATTCGCACAAACCGTTCGTCTGAATTGAGTTACTTGACGACTTCCAATGGCCCTCTCATTTTTGTTGGTATGACGAGCTTTTTCGGTGTATATTAGTTTTGACATATTTTTCCCCTTTCATTTTTCATATTATTAAAACTGGGTTTGAATTTTGCAATTTATTTTTGCAGGGGAGTGGGTGGCCGAGTGGAAAATTTCAAAGGCAAGCAAGGATGATCTTTCAAGGTTTGGCGAGGCTCAATTAGAGGTCTATGGGCGTGCAACTTTTGGTTGGTCGTATTGGGCACTCAAGAATGTCAACAACCATTGGAGTTTGGAGTGGATGATTGACAATGGTTTCATAAAACTTTAGTCCCCATTTAGTATCATTTAGTGTTTTTTCTCTATTGCCAAGTAAAAAAAAATGCTAAAACCAAGGATAAAACACGATCATTGTAGTTTTGTTGTTGTTGGGGAATTGGGCTTCACTAACACAGTCCAATCCAAACAAATGCAAATAAGTGGCTTCATATGCATTTTTAGAATGTGTTTGATGGGGGTTCGTAGTGATTGATTGGTTTATTTTGATAAACCCGTCCTCCAGTTCAAGTTTTGTGGCCCTCACTTATTCATATACCCCAGGAACCCCTAGTGGAGATTTGACACCCTCGATCCCATTTGAGGAACATGATGTTCAGTTTCATTTCCCGAGCATAACTTCCCAACCTGCACTCCTCTGTTCAACGATAGACGGGTCGTGATAACACTGAATTTGTAAATATTTTTACCCCTCATTTCTTGATTTTTTAGCTTGGTGTCTATCATACATTGATCTATTTTACACTAGGTTGTGTTCATTTGTCACATTTCAGGTCCTAGCACTTAAAGTGAATATAAATGCAAATTTCAAGTCGATCGGAGATCAACTAGTGACTCAGAGGAAGAAACTCGGGCATGAGCCAAGGTAGAATGGATTTCTAAATCATTTTATGGACAAAGAATCATGTAATCTAAGCATTTAAATAAAGAGGACGAAACTACGAGAGTCTGGGATCAAACGATGACTAATTCGGAGTCCGGATGGAGAAACAAAGCATCAAAGACAGTGGAACAAGAGCCGAGGAAGAAACACGGGTAGGAGAAACACGATCGTGTTTTTTCCTCTCGTGCCCGTGTTTTATGTGCCGAGAAGAAACAAGGGAAGAAATGAAACACTGCCGTCTTTCTGCCTCCTGCTCGGGTATAAGTATGATTTCTGCGACTTTAGAGAGGGGGAGTTGGGTTTTGGTTCTGAAACACTCAAGGGATGAACCCCCAGAAAAAGATAGCGACTTGGAAACATTCTTAGAGATATTTTGGAGGATTTCTTCGCCACTGGAGCTCGAGAATCAAGATTGGAGATGGAGATTGGAGATCTAAATGAGATTTGTGCATTCTCTCTCTTCTCTATGGAGTAACTTCCCTTCACTTAGGTTTTGAGGAACCCTAGTACCATGTGTTATGATCTTTCTTGTATGAAACTTTGGATCCTTTAACTTTTGATTTTAATCGATGGATGCATGATTTATTAAGACAACTGAATCCTGGTCAAATTCTCTTGATTTCTTCTTTAACCTTTGATAGATAGAATCTGATTAGTTAAGAGAGCTTCCTTGATTGATACTATTGAATTGATTGTACGAGAGTCAGTTAATTCACCGCTTTGTACTGTGGAATTCATTCCTAGTAGTGGAGATATGTGTGAATTGCCTAAGCATTCTATCCCGGTGAAGGTTAGTCACTTGTTGTGTACTGTGTCTAAGAGGGCGTGGTCAGTTTAAGAGATTCCAAAGCTATTATCGATCCAGCAGTTTAATCAATAGTAAAACAACCAAAGAAAATTATAACTTGAACCTAACTGGAGAGCTAGGGGAATCATACCCAAGTGAGTTCCCAACCTGTAATTAGATTAACTTTTACTGTAGTTTGCTAGAGTAGTTATAGTTCTTCTATCTTAATCTGCTTTGCTAGATAATCAACTGAAGCTGAGTAATAGTAACTCTAGAGACTTGTGGATTCAATATTTATTACTTGTTCCACTATACTACTGTCCCTTTCATTGGTACACTTGGCCATTGTTAGGAGTTGTGTTTTAGCGAGTCAAGTTTTTGGCGCCATTATCGGAGAACTTTCTAGATTATTAGGAAAGGCATAAGGTTATTAATTTATCTTTTCTTTCTTTCGTTTCTCCTTCCACCCTTGCTTTTCACTTGGGTGCTTTGCTTTTGATTTTGCATATTTGAATCATGAACCCATATGGCTTCTCCGACCAGTGGGGTGTCAATCATCACCTGGTTGGTATTACCCTGAGACTTCATGGGATAACCAATACGGAGAAAGCTATGGATTTGGGTTCCAGAAAGAACAACCACCCTTTTACGAAGAACAATCAGAGCCCTAGGTATTTCAAGAACCATCTCCTTATCAAGAAGAATTCCTCACACAACCAGAAGGGCCATCGGAGCTAGAGTTTGCCATGGCGGCCTTCACGGGCCATTTTGCAGAGCCATGCTACACTCAACGGGAAAATTCGTAAGAACAATTGAGGCTTCTCGTGGAGCGGATTGTTCAAAACAATGAGAGATCCTTGCCCAAGATGGACCTTCTAATCCAATCCATTGGTCCTCGTGACCCTTCCTTTCTCCTTGAAATGGAAGAGACTGCTCAGTACTCAGCAAAGCAAACTTAGTGCGTTGAGCAATTTTGTGCATAGCTTGCTCAAGATCACCTTTCTACAACCATAGAAGAAGAGGAGGAGGATGAAGGAGGCTACAAGGACATTGTGAAGCAGATAGAAGTTGTCTTGGAAAGCTCCCGTGATGATCATGATTACAAATGTCCTGTTGTAGCGGACCACACCTTTCCACATCCCACACCCTGTTTTTAAGAGGAAGACATAAGTGAGAAGATGCAAGATGATCTCATTGAAGAAATTGCTTGGTGTTGCTCTCCCATCCGTGATGGAAGAAGAAGAGCAAGAAAGGGTGAGTAAAGAAGTTGAGGAGGATGACGAAAGAGAAGCAGTTAGAGTTCTTGATCTTTTCCAAGCGGAAAGACCACATTCGGAAGAAGGAAGGGGGTTGAGGAAGGCATTGGCGTCCAGGCTGAGGACGAAGTTGAGGTGGAAGAGACTTGCACCGACCATAAGTTACATGTGATATCTCCACCAAACTTCAAGGAGCTGCTTGGCAATGGCCCATTTGAAGTGTCTCTTTGTCAGCCCAAGGCCATACCAACATCCATCCCACTTGGTGGATGCGATGGTGGTCAATCGATGTTTTTCTACATGGTTTGGGGAAATGAGACAGGAGAAGAAGAGGTCTCAAGGGTGGAGACTCCATCTGCATCAAGTGCACGAGCCTTCATCACCTACCACACCACATGCTCATGACTTGAGACTCCATGACTCGTCTCGAATATCACAATAAAAATCCCAATTAGGGCTCTAGTATAAACCTTAATTGGGTTCAATATAGGGAAAATATGTTTAAATATCAACCTGGGCCGGTCCATGTACCCATACTTCGATTGTTTGTAATGTTATCTAGCGATTGGTTTTTGGTGAAAACAACAATCTATAGCTAAAAAGTTTGGAGAAGTAAATGGATTTGACACTAATTGAGAAGGCTTCACCTTGGTGTTGCTCCCCATAGCTAGAAATTATGATTTGTCGGATCGAATGGACACGTGTGGTAAGGAGGTTGTAAACCGTAGGGAAGTGCAACAACTGCACAAATGCCACTCTCTCGGTCAATAGGTCAAGGGAATTCGATTCAAGCTACCAAAGTAGCTCTCTTGACCTATTGACTAAGGGTTGCCAAAATTTCACCCTCGAATCGGATTTTGGACGACCAAATTACAACAAACCCTAGGTGCTAATACGAACAAAGAGGGTTACCCTACATTAAACGAGATAGGAGACAATATTTGCCTAAGAAAACTCAGCTTTGCAAGCCTCTTTCAAAGAAAGAGAGTTTTCTCTCTACTTAGATTAGAATGGAAAATAGATTTATAAGCAAACACACAACAAAATCTTCCATGAAAATACCTCCAAATTCATATTAAAACACATCCATACACAAATCATTCAACCCATACAAATATTCACATAATTGTAGCTAGGGTTTACAAACACCTAAGTGAAATAAGGAACTACTCCATGCTAGGAGAATGGAGAACACAAGGGAGAAGAAGGGAAACCATCATGGAGATGCTAGCCTTGCCCCTTGTGTTGAAGAGATCCTCCTTTGTGGAAGGAATTCCCAAAACCTGTCTTGAAGATGAAACCCTAGCTTCTTCTCTTCTTTGGTTCGTCACTTTCTCACTCTAGAAATTGGAAGAAGAAGAAGTTTCTCACACTAGGTCTCTCTCCCCTTTCCCTTCCTTCAGCTCAAGCCTCTTTTATACCAAGGTCGAGCTCGATTCACGGTCCTAGTTCACGGCCATGAAAATTTGGCGAGGACCATGATCTGGAGCAAAAATGCCCCGCGTCATTTAAGATATTCACGGTTTATGGCTAGGGTTATGATTCGGGCCTAATTGTACATGTTTTGCCCCCGTTTTCCTTAGTCACTTGTGGCAACTTCTCTCCTAAAAGGTTGGTTTTAAGCTAGGTTTCTCGTGTTTTAGTGTGTTTTAGGATTTAACAGGTGAAACCAGCCTCGAAGTCGAAAGTTGGATGAAAAGGATCGAAAACTGGGAGAAGAGGTGAAAAGGGCCAGTTCACGGCTATCCCAGGAAGTTCATGGTCTTGCAAGACCGTGAAGAAGAGCCATTGACCGTGAACCTCGAGGCGTCCAGAGCCAAAATGCAAGTTACTAACGCAAGGTGAGTTCACGGTCACTAAGACCGTGAACTGAGGCTGTTGACCGTGAACCGAAGTGAACGAAGCGGTGTGTTTTGGCGTCCATCTGTTGTTCATGGACGCATTTCACTGTTCATGGCCGTGAACTCAGGCCGTGAACTGAGCTTGTCTCTGGTTTAAAAGATGAGCTGAAATGAAGAGAGAGGGAGAGCCCATTTGGGTTAGAAGCCTTCTTCTGATTTCTAGAGAGAGAAACACGAAACTAAAGAAGAAAGATGATAGGGTTTTGCTCCAAGGTGGATTTTCCTCCAAGGAAAGTTCAACACAAGGGCCAAGAAGATTGGAAGCCTCCTCCAAGATGGTTTCTACCCCTTCTCCTTGTGTTTCTCCCATCTCTAGCATGGAATAGAATTCTTTTCACTTGGGTGTTATGAAACCTTAACTCTACCATGTAGTTTTCTTTTATGTGAATTGAATGATTAGCATTGGGTATTGTTTAATCCAAATGTTTGAGGTATTATTCATCTTGATTGTGCATGTTTGTGCTTAGCATCCTTAGGTTTGTGCATGTCTATGCTTAGCAACCTAAGGATTGTGCATGTTTATGCTTAGAAATCTAATTAGCCACTTAAACTAGTCTAGAGAGGGAAACTCCCCTTCCAAGGGAGTCTCAATCGAGTTGG